CGAATATGGGCTTGATTAGATTAAAAGCTTGAAAAGACATTTTCAGGTTCATGAATATAAATGGCGTATTTGTAATGAACTGGCAGAGCAGCTGGAGTTTTGTGAATAAACAGGGAGTGGTTGAAGATGATGGAATGGGATGGGGAATATGCCAGAGCTGTATAGATTATACAACATGTGCTGTTTTCCAAGGGCCTGTGGGTACTAATCAAAGGAAATATTCTCCATTCTATTTTAGTTTTTTTTTTTTTAAGAGTCATTGAAGAAAGTACAACTTTTTACCAAACTGGCAACTTAAATTTAAACGTTGTTGCTATGGATGGCAGGGGAGGAGAATGGTAATGTACTAGTAAATCAGCTATTATTGTTGTGCTGAAAGACAGATTGAAGAGAAGTGACTAGTACCAGGCAGAGAACTCTGTGGCAGTTTTTTTTTTTTGTAGCTTTCAGATTAAGGAAAGGAAATTTGCTTTTGCTAAATTTCATCCAGAGCAGACACATATTCTTCTTGCAGTAACTTTGCAAATGGGCTTGTGTGAACAATCTGCTTTTCAGTATATAATTCTTACTCCAGAATTCTGCATTCTCTCATTAAATTCAAGAACATTGTGAAGGAATTCCTCCCCTGAAGTGGTTTTTTTTTTCAGGAGATGCAACTGAAGGGATGCAGACAGGTAGAAATTCATATCTCCAGTCCCATCTCAGCTCAAATTCTGAAAGAGATCATGAAGTAGATTGCTTGAGAGTTTCATAAAAGGTAAAAATACAAGGAAGTAAAAAGATATCACTGTCTATATTTACTGTCTATGTTTAAAGTTGGAATTAAGCTTGCTGGGAGAAATATCAACAACCTCAGATTTGCAGATGATACCACTGGAAGAAAGTGAAGAGGAACTAAAGAGCCTCTTGATGAGGGTAAAGAAGGAGAGTGCAAAAGTTGGCTTGAAATGCAACATTAAGAAAACTAAGATCATGGCATCCGGCCCTCTCAATTCCTGGCAAATAGATGGGGAAGAAATGGAGGTAGTGACAGATTTCATTTCCCTGGGCTCCAAGATCACTGCAGATGGGGACCACAGCCAAGAAAAGACGCTTGCTCCTGGAGAGGAAAGCTATGGCAAATCTAGACAGCATATTAAAAAGCAGAGACATCACCCTGCCAACAAAAGTGTGTATAGTCAAGGCTATGGTTTTCCCAGTGGCAATGTATGGCTGTGAAAGTTGGACCATAAGGAAGGCTGAGCACCAAAGAATGGAGGCCTTTGAGCTATGGTGCTGGAGAAGACTCCTGCGAGTCTTCTTGGACTGCAAGGCGATCAAACCGGTCAGTCCTAGAGGAGATCAACTCTGACTGCTCTTTAGAAGGCCAGATCCTGAAGATGAAACTCAAATACTTTGGCCACCTAACGAGAAGGAAAAGCCTCATGCTGGGAACAATTGAGGGCAAAAGAAGAAGGGAACGGCAGAGAATGAGGTGGCTGGATGGAGTCACTGAAGCAGTTGGCGTGAGCTTAAATGGACTACAGGGGATGGTAGAGGACAGGAAGGCCTGGAGGAACATTGTCCATGGGGTTGCGATGGGTCAGACACAACTTCGCAACTAACAACAACAAATATTCACTGGTACTGCTCTTTCTTTCTCTGTTACTTAATATTTTGAAATAAGTTTGAAAATTAAGGCAAATACACAGATAACATAGCTATAAAACAAATTACAGTGTATAGGTAGTTCTTGACTTTTCATAGACCATTGAATTATTGGGCTGGAAGGGACTTTAGAGGTCTTCTAATCCAACCCCCCGCTCAAGACAGGAGCCTCATAACATCGCAGTCAAATAGTTGTCCACTCTACTTTTGAAAACCTCCAGGGATGAAGCACCCATAATTCCAGGAAGGAAAGCTATTCCACTGATTAATAGTTAATATTTACAGAAAGTTTCTCCTTACTTCTTGGTTATATTACCCTTTAATGAGCTTCCACCCTTTATTTCTTATCCTGCCCCCTGGTGCTTTGGAATTCTTAACCCAGGTATTACCTGTAGTAAACTCCACGAGTTTCTGTTCAACTCCACGAGATGGTTCTTTTTTTAACTGAATTAAAATATAGGGGGATCTACATTCCATTTAACGGGATGTGGTGGCTCAGTGGCTAAGACGCTGAGCTTGTTGATCAGAAAGGTCGGCAGTTCGGCAGTTCAAATCCCTAGCACTGCATAATGGAGTGAGCTCCCATTACTTCTCCCAGCTTCTGCCAATCTAACAGTTCGAAAGCACGTAAAAATGCAAGTAGAAAAATAGGGACCCCTTTGGTGGGAAGGTAATAGCATTCCCTGCACCTTCAGTGTTTAGTCATGCTGGCCACATGACTGTCTTCGGACAGCGCTGGCTCTTCGGCTTTGTAATGGAGATGACCACCACCCCCTAGAGCTGGAAATCACTAGCACGTATGTGTAAGGGGAACCTTTACCTTTTACATTCCATTTACATTTAAAATCTGTGAATCTTGGACAGAGACATCCATGGTGTTGCTTTTGTTTTCAGTGTCCCACTGAAATAAGCCTGAATCTAGGAAGACTGCGAATCAACAAGAGGCTGCATCATAAATTAGGGGACCATCCAATTTGCAGCGATTCCAACTATCACTTGATAACAATAAACATTGAATTCATGCATACGTTTTTCCTGCTCACTTGCCTTTGAAACATTTCATTCTTCTAGAAAATTATTTGGCAGTATGGATGTCAAAAAAGGGATGAGATAATCTTAAGTGGTCGGATCGCTTTTAATCCAACACTAAGAACATTTTTAAAAGATCCACTTTCCACGGGAAAAGTTTTTGTTTAGTTATCATTGGGATATTATTTTCAAAGTTGGTACAAAGTGCACAGAAGGCAGACAGTTAGACTCCAGTAAATGCAAAATAGTCAGGAGGGGAAAATTATCTTTGAAATAGCAACAGCCTGATTGCTAGCAATAGGTAATTTGAGATCCTGTAAAATCGTCGGAATATAAGCACAAAGAAGAGAAAATTGTTGACTAAAAATGGCTTCTACCTTGACCAATAATGAAAGTTGCTAAGATTTATGAAGCCTCACTATGTGCAGCACTGCATCTAGTGAATTTAACTGTGTGTTGTTGAAAGCCCTAATTGCAAGGTCACACATACTTTAATTTTCTCTCCGTCCTGAAATATCATTAATGTTATAAAGCTGTGAAATGTACTGATGACAAATTAAATGGATGTTCTTATAAGTGGAGGAGACATGATGGCTCAACAGTTAAAGACGCCGAGCTTGTTAGTCCCAAGCAGTGGTGGGATTCAAATTTTTTTACTACCGTTTCTGTGGGTGTGACTTGGTGGGTGTGGCAGGGGAAGGATACTGTAAAATCTCCAGCCAGAGGCAGGATTGGCCAGTTCTCTGAACTACTCAAAATTTCCGCTACCGGTTCTCCAGAACTGGTCAGAACCTGCTGAATACCACCTCTGGTCCCAAGGTACTTTTTCAGGAGACAACTGGACTTTCTGGTTTTTTCTTTGAAGACATTTTGCTTCTCATCCAAGAAGCTTCTTCACCTCTGACAGGATAGTGGGGAAAGGAAGGATTTCTATTCCTTGCAGCCAGCTGGTCATTTGCATCCTTTTAGAGGGTCGTTGAGGCCACCTGGAGGTTTATCTGTGTCCTCAGGGTCACCTCAGTGATGCTCCTGGTTCCTGTAGTCTTCAATTTTTCCTCTGGAAACCCATTCCTGGTGTGAATGGTATGGGAGTAGGGATGGATTTCCAGAGAAAAAAAAAATTGCAGACTACAGGAACCAGAGCACCACTCAGGTGACCCTGAGGACACAGATAAACCTCCAAGTGCTTCAACAACCCTCTAAAAGGATGCAAATGACCAGCTGGCTGCTAGGAATAGAAATCCTTCCATTCCCCACCATTCTGTCAGAACTGAAGAAGCTTCTTGGATGAGAACTGAAACATCTTCAAAACAAAAAACTCTTAAGAAAGCCCAGTTGCCTCCTGAAAAAGCACCTTTGGGACAACCATGACCTGGATGACTGAGAATGTCTACAGACTCTAAGCTGAAAAATGGTAGAATATTATATTTCCCTAAAGGAAGAGACAGCCCCCACCTTTCCTCATAGCCCTTAGCAGATGTCAGCATTTAAGAGATAAGGAGATAGATAGCTCTATTCATAGGCAAAGCAAGTACTGCAGGCAGAAATCCATTCGAGACAGGATATTTTGAAATGCAGCGAAGTCTTGAACAAAGTCAGAGTGATAGGATTAGGCCTCACTCAAGATCCAAACCAGGACAAAGCCATTAAGCCATAATAGGACTTGCCCAACACCCTTTCAGAACACAATCCTCTTCATTGCATCATCTCAGCAGTCCAAACTTCAACCGAACCTGGGAGCTCAGGCAACCTATAGAGCCAGCTATGACCGTACAACAGTCAATAGAATACATGTGCTTGCACAGGAACAGAAAGCTCAAGTCTAAAGCCCAAGAGAAGGTATAACCCCCCCCCTCAACTCCATGTGTTCAGCTGCCCAGAACCACCCATGTGCTTCTGCTTCATCATTAAACCATCTTTCCAATCAGCCTCCAGCCTCCATTTTGTCTCTAGTGCCTTTCTCCTGGCTTGGAGCTGAACCACATGGATATTTCTTCCAACAGTGTAAACACTTCAAAACAACCAAGATTGCCCAATGTTGAAAATTTACTGGAGATTCTATTTGTTTTCACACATGCTTTGACTGCATCATCAGACACCCTTGTAGTATTCAGGAAGCAACTTTGAGTTCTACCTGTGTCACTTCCCCTTTGCAATAGGCAAGGCCTATGGCTATGACTTAGAACGGAGGTCTCCAAACTTGGCAATTTAAGACTTCTGGACTTCAATTCCCAGAATTCTCCAGCCAGGATAGCTTAAAGTTGCTATGTTTGGGGACCCCTGACTTAGAAGATGCAGCTGATCTTTGGGCTTGATCTACTCACCTCCCTCAGCAGAACTGATCACAACAATTGGGCTGAACGGTCCATCGCCTTTGTTGTTATATGCTCCAACTTTCACCTCAAATGGAGTCAAGGGAGGCACGCTTTCATCTCTGTAGATGAACTTGGAGGCATCAGAAGACGTGACCATTTTTTCTTTCCAGCCTCTTGTCCCATTTGGTCGAAAAGCCACAATATATCCAAAGCTTTCCCCATTTTGAAATTCTTCGGAGACTGGCTAAAGAAAAAACAAACTCATTATTATTATTATTATTATTATTATTATTATTATTATTATTATTATCCTGGCAATGCTCCTGAGTCCAAGGCACTACATGTGCCAAAGGCCTTCCCTCCTGGCTACATTGTTAAAAGGCCACATATTTTACTTTTGTATGTACTTCAAATTAGACATTTTAATATTTTTTTTACTTTTAATGCTTTTTTACTGTTTTATTTTATTGTTTTATGTAAAAAAATTACTTGTAACATATGCTTTGAGATATGCTGAGATGGGCGGCTGTAGAAATCAAATCAAATCAATCAAATCAAATCATATAAAAAAAATCCTTAGGATTTGTTCAATTCACTCAAAAGAGGCGGACTTTGAACAAGTTGCTTAGCTTTAATGGAGGCTGCTTCTTGTCTCCCTTCCCCCTATGGAAGAAAATGTAAGTTTGGGAAACCATGAAAGTTCAATTCTTAAAAATTAGTGTTCCCTGTACCTATTCAGATAACAGATCATAGATAATAAGAGTTGGAAGGGACCTTGTAGGTCATCTAGTCCAACCCTCTGCCCAAGCAGGAGACCCTACACCATTTCTGACAGATGGCAGTCCAATCTCTTCTTGAAGGTCTCAAGTGATGGCGGTCCCACAACTTCCGAGGGTAAACTGTTCCATTGGTTGATTGTTCTCACTGTCAGAAAGTTTCTCCTTATTTCCAGGTTGAATCTCGCCTTGCTATCATGTCTCCCCTGGTCCTTTTCTTCACTAGACTAGCCAAGTCCAGTTCCTGTAATTGTTCTTCATATGTTTTAGTCTCTAGTCCCCTAATCATCCTGGTTGCTCTTCTCTGTACTATTCTGTGCATAACTTTTTGAGTCATTACATATCCTATGTTGCAGAAGATGATGATCTATTTAACTATACACTATATTTCAGACATCATCAGTTGGAATAACTTCAAATTATGGGGCTCACAGAATTCTGAGAGAGCCTTTGCTAAGAATTCTGGGAATTGAAGTTCACATGTTTGGAGAGTATCCAACTTTGGAAAGCGTGCTTAAGTAGAAAGCCTGCCCAGTTCATCTTTGTTTTAAATATGAAGATTCCTAAGAAAAGAAATCACCATTCAATAGTTAATTAAATCACCTAAGCTCTAATTTGTAACATTTGATTCAATGCTGTTGCAGTAAACAGATTTGATTCTGTCAATTTGATTTAATAAACAATATTTTGAGTATATGGGCAAAAACCCACTGAATTAAAAAAAAACATCTGTAAGGCTCTTGATTTGATCACTGATTCAATTCAGCAACCAGGTTGGCTTTTTAATAGTGGGACACAATCAAACCATTCAAAGCTCAAAGCTTTACATAGCCTTAACATTTAATAATTAACCACCTGGCAAGCTGAGCAAACATCCTGTTCAAGGAGTCACAGTTCTTTCAAAGTATGCAAAGGTATATATTTTTCTTCTTCTTCTTCTTCTTCTTCTTCTTCTTCTTCTTCTTCTTCTT